AGAGAACAGAACCTGAACAAGATATAAAGACTAATTTTTATGCCTAAATAAAGACCTTGTGAAAGTAAATTCATAACGTTTTAACAATATAAAGCTGATACCAGGTATTTGTAGTGAAATTTGTCTTTAGGGCGGTGTTTTATTTTGCTTTGTTCTAATCTACAAAAAGATTTTTCGAGAATTCTAATAAAATGTTTGGTGTTTGGCTAATTAGTATTATCTTAGTTGTGTGTTTAATTAATAGGCCTGTTGTGGTCTGCCTGGAAAGCCAGCAGTATGCTATGTGCTCAGACAGTGTTGGAAGTATAATGTGGGCAGAAATTCAGTAAAACCAAAGGAGAGTTCCACAGTATTGTTTGGGAAGAGTCGGGTAGGATTGGATTATTAAGTTAGTTTTCTGAACAATAAGTGAAAGTGTCAAAAAAGTTCCTGTAAGAGAATCTTTGCATGTCAAAACCAGCCTGTTTCCAGACAGGCTCTGACAAAGTTTCCGTTGCATTCTTATGCAGGGATGTGCATTCCTATCTCATTATGCAGAGGTGATACTGCTAGAAAACAATAAATACTCTTAGAACAAATAATAAAGAACAACAAAGAAGATAAAGCAATTTTGTTTCTGGGGTTTGGCATCCAGAATCCAGATTGTAGCTGAAGTGAAGGATCTGTGGAAATGGTCATACTGCGAAAGACAGAAAAAACAGTGTTACTGTTGTACTTCTGTAGCTAACAGGATCCCAGAGAAATCGTAAATGAAAACTAGAACAACTGATGTCTAGTATTACTGCTTTCTTACTGTCAACACATCTTTTGAAACCGTTTCCTGTTTTGTAACTGAAAATTTTATTTAGTCAAGCAAAGTTTTAGATTCTTAATCCTTGGCTAAAAGGAACCACTTTCATTTTTAAGTTTCTCTCTAAGATAAACAGTAATTTCTAAATCTGTCTTGGTTGAGCTTGAAGTCCATTGAATAAACCTGTATCTACAAAAAGCTGATACATTTGATTATAAAAGTAGTATGTTTTAATCTTGCTTTAGTTGCCTTCTGTTAAAAGACTGGTTCAAATTATGTAATGAGGAAATATCTCTGAATTTGATAGGACTATAGTTTTTAGTAGTTCTCCTTTTTACAGTACTAGGAATTAAAAAAAATAAAAATATTACATGGTTTGAACAGCATTCATCCTTTTTAGTTATTTTAAATTTACACATACAGTGTTTAAATATACAGAGAAAATTCCTGCACATCCTGGGCCATTTTCTCTTTTTTGAGTAAATAGAATGCTCATTTTTTGCAATTTAACTTTACTTTCCTCTGCCTATTGTGAATGGAGTTGAAATGGAACATTCAATGTGGATATAGTGTTCTAGCAAAGTTATTTTTTTTTACCCTAATAAAACCGGTATATTTACAATCATCTTTATTCTAAAGGAGTAGTTATATCTGTAGAACACAGGAGAATAACATAAAACAAATAAAGAGTTCAGAAAATATATGAAATTCTAATATTTTAATTTGGAAAGACTACTTGGATCTTCTTGCCAGGTCCTCTCTTTTAACATCAAAAGGGGCAATAAGAAAAATGAGGTTTAGGAAGTGTTATGGTAAAAATGGAAGCATTATAATTTCCTAATCTATTTTTTAAAATTGTAGCACCTCTTTAAGTTTTGCCCACAGTTTTATCTTTCTTCCTTCTTAACCCATTTTATTAGTCAATTATTTTCCAGGGAAATAATTCTGAAAATCCCTTTTGTAAGTAATCCAAATTCAGTATTAGGTCAATACTAGCTTTTAGGTTGGTATTTTTAAGGCTTAATAATACAGCTATACTTTGACCTAGAAACCTATTTTCATTTGATACTTGTAACAACTTTTTTTTTTTTTTTTTAACATTTGCCTGAAGCTTTTTACATGCAAGTATTTGTATTTATATATATATATAAAAGATATTTAATATATATTTTTATTTATATTTACATGCATGTATTTATATTATCACTACATAATTAATATAAAGACTTGGAAGACACATTTGAAAACTTTTTGCAAGGATCATTGGAAAGTCGTTACTGGAGGGACATGCTGGATCAGTCCCTTCCTAGTAGAAGATTGTACAGTCTGTAGCTGTCTTGTGACTAGCAAAAGATCCTTCATTGAGCTCTTGAGAAACAGTGCATTCAAAGCTCCTATTTGCAAATCACAGCTCAAAGGCTTTTTCTCATAAGTTGTCAAAGGGTTTTCATTCTCCAAGGAGTCAATGAAGTTATTCCTAGTTAATTATTCAAAAGTAACCCCTTTGGGCTGTCCTTTTAATTGTTTTCCAGGTGCCATAAACTGCAGATTTCAGCAAGAAATAAATTTAGATACAGCACAGTAGGAAGTTTTAAAAGCCAGCAGCTTCTGCAAAGGATTGTCAAGAACAATCTGCAAGGAGACTAGTTTTGGCATATAGATTTTGATCTGAAACAGTACAGGAAAGGAAGTGCTTCTTGCCAGCTCTCACCACCATATGCTTTATTATAATGTAATGCACAAAAAATATGGAGACAGCAGCTGCTCTAGAGGGAGGTGGCCACTTGTTAGATTTTGAAACCTTTCTGAAATGTCTTTTCGTTTTCTTTTCACTGGTATTTTTTCCCCTTGCTTACGTATTTGCATTCAAAAGTCGTTCACTACAATAAATCTATTTTTAGACTACAGCAAGAAGAGGGAGGGCATGATCTACTTTCTGTTGAAATGAAAATAATTTTAAGACTCTAATATTTAGTTTTATATATTGTGAAATGTGGGTAGATTTTTTATTTTCTCAATATCCATTCATGTCAGGGCATGATGAGATTGTGTGTTTAAATTAACTGTTGTCTAGGGATGCAGTGTCTTGATCACATTCACTTTTAAGTCAGTGTCAGGATTCACTGGCTTCAGTGGCAGAGAGAACCAAAGAATAAATGAGGGTTTAGATCTAAAGTGGAAAGAGTTTGATATGTTATGCACAGAGAAAACAGTTTTTCCTAGCATCGCTACCCAGGCAGTGAAGTTGATTGTTCTGTTGCTTTGAGAAACATGAAGTTCTTTGCATGTTTCAGGAACTGTGTGCCTGCAAAGTCATGAAAATGAACCTTATTTATTTAAACAAAACTGTATTTTAAATGGTATTTTTTGACTCCTAACTGAGATTTTCATGTCCCCTGAATGTAACAGTCCTTCCAGATACACATAACTACAAGCATTTGGGTTTTAAATTAGGGATTCTTAAGTGAATTTGAGAATCCAGAGGGAAGTTACATCACAGTATAATGGAATTATAGCAGGGCAAGTTGTTATTGCATATAATAAAATTAATATATCATATTAACATTTTTGCTGAGTGCCAGTGTTTCACATTGACCCTGGAGTAATGCTAAAATGTCATAGCAACACAGATGTGACCCATATAACTCAGTAAAAATGATGGTTCATATAGAAGAAAGATGTTAAAATTATTTTTGGAAGCATAAATCTCTTTGAGACAGCAATTATTAGATTATTGCTAACCATAAATACTCACCATAATCTGACAAAGAAATTACACTAATCTGTCTGTCACCAGGTATATGTTTTCCTGGTGATACAAAGATGATTCTTATGGAAAAATCCGTTTATTTGCTTACTTCAGTTCTAGCCCATTCTATTATGATCTACCTGACCGTCATTTTTTAAACCAGCTGCAACTGATGATTTTCTGGAATAAATACTCAGTAATTCTTACTTAAAGGTTCCCTTTTCCCTTTTTGTGGCCATACTTGTTGCAAGAATTCATATCTAAGTAGCATTACTGATTTGCAACTGTAATCATTCCTTACGTTACCCCTCATCACACTGAGGGGGTAACATGGGCAATTCTGTCTACTTAGGAATCCCATTTCTGAAGTAGACTGGATTTTAAAGTCTATAGTAAAATTAAACATGGATGCTGAATATAGTCCTGCAGTCCTAATTCTGCAAAGTGTGAGGCAAAAGTTTAACTCATGCTGAAAATGATGATTTACGGTCTTGTCATGAGGCAAATCAAAATCTACTTTCAGTGCAAATTAAAATTGTGAAAGGACTTATCCTTCTTTTGGTTCCTGTAAGTATAGTTTAGCCCTATCTTAAGCAACAGTTTTCTAATTCTACTGAGTACAAGAAAATTTAAGTTATCAGCAGTCTATAGTTCACACATTGGTCACTTTAAGTCAGCCTAGAGTCTTGACAGCACAAGAATTTTTTGTTTGGGGTGTATTACACCCCCAGGAAACTTTGTAAATTAACTGTATGTTTTTTGTTTATAATTTGAATGGGAAGGTAAAGCCTTCCTTGTCCCTAGAAGGACCGAGAATTGTCAGGAGTTGCAAAATGTTTAGCCTGCTCCAAGCAGCAGACTAAAGTATGTATATTCTTCTAGAAACAGGTACTTTAGATGTACAACTGTTACTTTATAGATTGTTGGAAATTCCTTTTTCAACTGACATTTGCTGTTATGATTGTATGAAGATTTATTTTTACATTAAAAAAGCCTGGTAGAAAAAAAAAGGACAGATCTTTCTTTAAGTCACCATAATAACCAAAAAAGTCAGCAAAACAATATAATTCTAGGCAAGTGAGAAAAGAAAATTCTCTGTTTGTGACAAATGAGAATTAATTATTTTTGAGCCTAAAGAAAGTTACTTCATTTTTAATGATATATTGCCTAACCATCACAAGCTATTCAACTGTCAATGACTAATTCAGAAGAAAAGAAATGCAAGAGGCCAAATGTAGCTATTTGTCTAGAGACATTTTCCTCATTGTGAGAATAGCTTCTTCAAGTCTGTTAAAGCTCTATGGATTTTTTGCTAGCTTTTAAAAATTAGAAAGCACATGATTGCACAGTTAAAGTTTCGGATCTTAAACTGTATGCTGTAACTTTGTTATTAATAGTTCAGAAGGCATTGTATACTGCTTATCGTTAGAGAAATTGATACAGAATTTTTTTCTTCTCCAGCCACCAGAAAAAGAGGGTGGCCTGCCTCGCCAGGTAGGCAATAAGACGGAGTGTGGCCTCTTGGGATTTGTCCTGGATTTGAAGCAGGATTATGAGCCTGTTCGGAACCTCATCCCCGAGGAGAAACTCTATAAAGTTTACACGTTCAACTCTGTCAGAAAGTCAATGAGTACTGTCATTAAAATGCCAGATGGTAGTTTCCGAATGTACAGCAAAGGAGCTTCTGAGATTGTTCTGAAGAAGTAAGTTCAATGGATTAGTTGTGTTTTTCCAAAACGCAAAACGTTCTGACACTAACAAGACATATGTGGGAATTTTGATATTTGAAATTTGCCACTTACGGTAGAAATTAGACACACTTCAGTAGTATAAGCTGTTACTGTTCTAATTTTTTTTTAAGTGCTCACTCTTGCAAAACTGTTTGGCTTCGTTTTCTTATTGTCTAGCCAAAGAATTGAATCTGTGTTTGGTAGTTTACTCATGGATTCTTTATGTTCAACCCATTTGGAAAACAAGGATTTTTCAATTTAATTTTAAGTTGTCAGCTCATTAATTGCACAGGTATTGAGGAAATAATGGATGAAGGGCTCTTGGTGTCCCTGTAATGTTACAAATGTTACAAACAAATTCTCTGATATTTCAGTAGTGAATCTTCTTGCTTAATCTAAAAATTTACATTAGAAATTTAAAACTTGCCATCAAAAAAAGGAAAGTGTTGAATGAAATGAGCTAATGCAAAGAAATACTTTTCAGCAGTCATGCAAATACACAATCGACATTTTTTTTTTTTTTTTTTTTTTTTTTTTGAAGGTAACACATGCAAAAT